TAGCGATTCCAGATTTTATAAAAGAGGATTCTCTGTTGTTCTCTTAATAGTAACTCTCCTCGAGATATACAACAAACAATCCAGGGGCACCCCTAGGCGATGTAATGGTTAGCAAGCATGTCTCTGCTAGCACAATTACGAATGAGTAGTGAGTTCGATCCTCGCTGGGTGCTCCATACTTTCGTTCCTTGTGCCACATCTAAGCTACGCTTGGAAAATCGCTACAACAAACAATCCAGACTGAATTAACGAGCCTTGACTAGTAACTAAAATCTCCATAGAAATAAATCCTGTTTAAGACAATGGACCCTATTTACATTGTTCGGACTGTTGTCCTTATTTTTATTGTCACATTCACGACGTTTCGGCCGTTGTTCGCTCCGGCCTTCTTCCGGTGAAATGTGTTGGACTTTCGAACCGAACCCTTTATATAATCCACAGGGGTAAAGTGAATTCCACGCACCATGCCTTTGGATATCTCAGTTTTAGTTAATTCGCCTTTATATCTCTCTAAGTTTTTGCCTTCTCCGCTGAGGCCAGCGATTGAATTTGCAACACTTTGGGTCAAGTTATTTTTTAGGATTAGTCAACCAATGCTTTTATCCACTGGACCATATCCAAAGATATCCAAGAGAATGATAAGTGGAATTAGAATTAGAACTATCTACTCTCGTGAACTAAAAAAAAAGGGGTTCGGTTCGAAAACCCAACAAATATCGACAGAAGAAGGCCGGAGTGTACAACAGCCGAAACGTCGTCAATGTGACAATTTTCTTTAACATGTTTTATTTCTGTGTAAACTTTAGTTACAAGTCAAGTTTGTAAATTCACCCTGAATTGATTATTGAATAACTAGAAGACAATTTCTCTTAACAGATAATCCTCATTTATAAAATCTGGAATTGGCTTTATTTGAATGAATTGGTGCGACCATTTTTTATCACCATTTCTTTTACTAAGAGAGAATCTGAAAAAGCAACACTAAACGCTCAGGACCTGAATTTTGCTGCAAAAAAAAACTGGGAAAATGAGTAAATTTTGCACATACCAGCAACGGAACGAATGTGTGTCTTTTATATTTACAGTGTAACCCGGATATAAGAGAGTTGTCGGGACCGGAGAAGAAGTCTCTTATATCCGGGTTTCTCTTATATCCGGGTTTGGTCTATATGTATACATTAACACAGGCTCTAATTTGGGACCAGAGAAAATCTCTCTTATATCCGGGTCTCTTATATCCGGGTTACACTGTAATATATATTTGCTGACTCTTAGTTATGGCAGTGGGGGGGGCAATAAAATATATTCAGAACGAGGATGACTACAGTCCACAGCTATGGTACGGTTTGCGTCAGGAACTGGCCAACCTTTTTGTTTACGCGAACGTGACAATAAAAATGAGGAAAACAGTCCGAAGAATTTAAATAGTGCAAATGATTATGATACCTCTTCTCAGAAATATAGACAGATGTTTAAGACAGGACAAAATGATGAAACTGGTATTAAAATAGCGTTAGTAATCTCTAAGATAATCTTCAGAATTGCGAGAATTGATTGATAAGTAAAATCACCAATCTTATAAAAGAAGTGTTCAAACAAGTAAAATAATGAAACGGATATCAAAATGAAATAAGTATATTTCATTTCAAAATTACGAGACTCGACTGATAGCAAAGGACTCAAAAGCCTAGAAAATAAATTTTCAACAAGATAGATTAATGGAATTGATAGCAGTATGAAGTGAATTTATTTCTCTTTAAAATTACGAGGGTTCATTGTTAAATAATGTATCCTGTATTAGGAATCCATTTTAAGGTTTAAAATAAGCAATGAAATCGAAAATTAAGTAAATTTCTTTCTTTTCAAAATTCAATGTTGATTTTTTTTCAAAATAGGCCCCTCTTAACGCTACACATTCGTTTCATCCCCTTTATACTTTTAATATATTTGAATTCCCTTGAGAAGATTTCTGGTTTTACTTTTGATCCAAATTGACACAGGTACTTTGGCGTTGGATATAGAAATCTTTCCACGCCTCTTCCGATTTCAAAAAACAATCAGAAGCTTGATAAAATCAAATTCTGGCTGTACGTAGAATGTTTGACCAATTCTAAATTTTAGTTTTTCTTACCATTTTTAAGCGTTTTCTGGCTTCGATACACCCTTACATAGTTGCTACACGAGAAAAAAATATATATTTATTCAGGCCTGATTCTAAGGATACATTGATTTCTTTTTTAAAACATTTCACCCCCAGCAAATCAATAAAGCCACTAGAAAGCAATAGATTACTGAGCTTTAGAGAATATGAGAGAAAACTACAAGTGATAATAAAAGAAGAGAAAAGGTAACGACTGATATTGCATTCAAATTTTTGACTGGAAAACCGGATGAGAGTTCTACATTGAGAAACGAGGAGAAGAACCTGTTATGTACACAGTACGAAAAGTTGATCAGAACAGTTAACATGAATGTACTGAACGCACACCTCATTGGTTTCACATTCCAGTTCAGTTTTTCTAATGACAAAATTCCAGTCATTGATTGATGCGTTACACTTAACACTATGTTAGCATAGAACTTAAGGTTACATTTCTGTACAGTGTTACTGTAACACTATGTTAGCGTAGAAAGGTTACATTTCTGTACAGTGTTACTGTACGCTATGTTAGCATAAAACTTAAGGTTACATTTCTGTACAGTGTTACTGTACACTATGTTAGCATAGAACTTAAGGTTACATTTCTGTACAGTGTTACTGTACACTATGTTAGCATAAAACTTAAGGTTACATTTCTGTACAGTGTTACTGTACGCTATGTTAGCGTAGAACTTAAGGTTACATTTCTGTACAGTGTTACTGTACGCTATGTTAGCGTAGAAAGGTTACATTTCTGTACAGTGTTACTGTACACTATGTTAGCATAAAACTTAAGGTTACATTTCTGTACAGTGTTACTGTACACTATGTTAGCATAAAACTTATGGTTACATTTCTGTACAGTGTTACTGTACACTATGTTAGCGTAGAACTTAAGGTTACATTTCTGTACAGTGTTACTGTACGCTATGTTAGCATAGAACTTAAGGTTACATTTCTGTACAGTGTTACTGTACACTATGTTAGCATAAAACTTATGGTTACATTTCTGTACAGTGTTACTGTACGCTATGTTAGCATAAAACTTACGGTTACATTTCTAGCCATTTCATCTGTAAATTTATTAGACTTTACCGAAAATCTAGCCAGTTATGTGCCATACGTGATACACGCTTAGGCGATCATCCATCTTTTAATACATGACTCACGAGGCAAACTTTTTCCTGCAGTAGGTTGCCATTTCTTTCCGCGGTAGATCATTTTCCATCCAAGGCTATAGAACGGTAAGAAATATCTATAGAACCCGATCTGTCCTGCTATTTGAAGAGGATTCATACCTTTCCCAATGTTATTAGCAGGTGAGTGAAAGTTATGGATTCGACTGGAATTCGAAATTGGCTCTCCGATTCCTGAATTCGAGCCGCTATCCGTTACGCCACCATAGAAATTTGGTACTGATCTTAAATTCATAAAGTCGACGAACCATAGCGAAAAGTTGATAAGAACAGTTAACATGAATGGACTGAACGCACACCTCATTGGTTTCACATGTCTGTGGATTCCAGTTCAGTTTTTCTAATGACAAAAATTCAGTCATTGATCGATGCGTTACAGTTAACTCGAGCACAGTTTTCCTGACTAACAAACACTCACTATTACTCAATGCTAGGTCTCCCTACTTGATCGCTGAAAAAACCGTATAGCATGATGTTTATTTTATACAGTCAGTTATATTCCATGCGTGATATATGCTTAGGCGATCATGTATCTTTTGATACATGACTGACAAGGCAGTTTTTTTTTCCCTGCAGTATTGCCAATACTTTCTGCGGTAGACCAGTTGCCATCCATGGCTGGCGGTGGGGGAGAAGAAGAGAATACATAACTTTCCCAAGAGTATTAGCACATAAGTAAATGTAATGTATTCGACTAGAATTCGAACTCGGCTCTCCGATTCCTCAATCCGAGCCACTATTCATTATGTCACCGGGCCTTTATGTTATTATTAAGATCAAAGTATTTTTTTTTTTAGTATTCTATCATATATTTTTTTAATCCTTTCTAACAAGTTCGAAATTTTGTTTAAAAATCATTTTTTTTTTTTTTTAGTGAGACCATGTCTAAAAATCTATTGTTTATCAAAATGACTGTATTCTGCGTGAACTCACATGGAGAAAATCGATATGCCGTAAAACAGGACAAATCAAACTATATCCACCATTAACGACGCCACTCAGTAGACATTAATTATCAATCAAGTTTTGTATGTCTAAATAAACAGTGGGTGTGTATTCTTGCGAATTTTGTACATTAGTACGATTGTATTACACACACGTTCGTGTCTATAAAGATTATTTTTTAAAATAATCTTAAAATCTCAAATGGTCGAATGAGCGTAAGCAGAAAAAAGGTTGCCTTAAAAATCAGCATTTTACGTCTCATACTTCTTCTTGGCTCGAACGCTAGCATCAGTAATAAATATTTTCTTATCTCACTAAGCAGAGACACGTTCCTATTCGTATGACTCGTTTAGCCATTGGGCTGTTTTAGTCATTGGGTTATTTTTATGTAAATAATATTAGTTTTGCGTGCAGGCTCTCTGGAGTTGATCTGAGCAGTTGACCATCTGCTGTCTGGGATTTATCTAGCGAAGGGGATGAATAGGATAGTTTATTCATACGTTTATTTATTTATTTTTTATCTCCAAATCCTAACGGAAACAACAGAACCAATCAGGAAAGAAAGAATAATATACAGAGATGCTGGGAGAAAACGCAGAAGGATAGACAGGAAAATAGGATAAAAGAGAAAGAGAAAGGGAGGGGTTGATATAGAAAAGGTTGGTGAGAAAAGAGAGAAAGATAATGTTTAAGATAGAGCAAGCGGTGGTTGAAGATTGTCAACAATAGCGAGAAAAAGATAAGGAGGAAGAAGAAGAAAAAGAAGGAACTGCTGAGAAGAAGAAGAAGAAGAAGAAGAAGAAGAAGAAGCGGATAAACCGGAGAAGGAAGGAGAAGGTGTAGATTAAAATGAAAGAGGGTAAGCGAAGTAGGAAGGGAAAGATGCGGAGGAGGAGGAAGAAGAAGAAGAAGAAAAAGAAGAAGAAGAGGATAAACGGGAGAAGGAAGGAGAATGTGTAGATAAAAAGGAAAGAGGGTAAGCGAAGTAGAAAGGGAAAGATGCGAAGGAGGAGGAGGAAGAAGAAGAAGAAGAAAAAGCGGATAAACGGGAGAAGGAAGGAGAATGTGTAGATTAAAAGGAAAAAGGGTAAGCGAAGTAGGAAGGGAAAGATGCGGAGGAGGAGGAGGAGGAGGAAGAAGAAGAAGAAGAAGAAGAAAAAGAAGAAGCGGATAAACGGGATAAGGAAGGAGAATGTGTAGATTAAAAGGAAAGGGGGTAAGCGAAGTAGGAATGGAAAGATGTGGAGGAAAAAGAAGAGATGGAATACCATGAGGACGAAGAAGAATAGATGGAGGAGGAGGAGCAGTTTGATGGGGAGAATAGAATGGCCGTTATAAACGGAAGAAATAATCAGAGGGTTACATGTAGAGTAGCAGGATAAAAAAAATCGAAGAAAAGGAAGCGGGAAAAAATATTCAACGAAAAATTGATTGACTGTTTCGTTTTCTACTTCTTATCAACCATTTGCAGCTTATTTAAAGCCAGAAGTAAATTTTGGGATTGTAAGAATTTTCTTTTGGAAATAATGATTTAGTAAGAATAGTCTTACTAATTAATTCATATCAATGGAGTGGAAAAGAGGTGGATTCACGCCTTTCCGAGATGTTGCGTCCTGTGTCGTCTTTGTGTCCCCACGCTACTAAATAAAAATGTATTAACGAAAAGGACGATTTCTTTTGCTTATTCGTTTTTATTAGAAGAGAGAGACTGACGTGGCAGCTTGTGCTCTAAGTAGCAGCGGGAGGAAGGATGTAACGGAAACGCATGTCACTCGTTGACTTAGCGTCCCTCCGCAAGTGGTCTTAGCCGGTCTCTCGAAACTGGGTGTGAGAAGCGTATCGACACTTCAGAATTCTTCTGTTGAATTCGTGTCGATTTTGACTTATATCCCAAACCCAGGCAAATGCAATGCATCACTGTCAGAATAACGCATCCACGAGTCACTCCAGCCAATCGCTGATTACTCTAGCCCTGGTCTCCGCATTATGTAACACTAAGGTATTTGCTCGAAAGTGAATATTACGAACTTACTGGAAATTGAACTCGGCTCCCCAATTAACAATTCTGAAGTATTATCCACTACAGTATCCGCACATCCAGGTTTACAGCTCCTGATATTCCTAAGCGCTCACCCATCTAGTTACCGACTAGACTCAACGTTGCTTATCTTCGAGGATCGTACAGGAATCGGTGTCTCAACGCTATACGACCTTAAGCCACACCCCAAAAGAAAGCTACTTGGTTTGATTTGGTTTGTTTTACGGCATGTCAACACCTCAATAGGTTCTTTAATGCCGACAATTTTTTTTTATTGCTGGTAAAATTTTTTTTTTAAATATATTGCTGCTAATACTTTTTTTCTTCAAAAATGTATTGCTGGTAATTTTTTTTTTTTTTTTTAAATATTTTTTTTAATATTTTTTTCCAAAAATGCATTGTTGGCAATATATTTTTCAAAAATGTATTGCTGTTAATAGTGTATTGCTAGTAATAATTTTTCTTCAAAATTTCATTGCTGGTAATATTGTTTTTACAAAAATGTGTTGTTGGCATTAAAAGCTGCTACAGAAGTGGAAATTAAAATGATAAAATATGTAACTAAAAAGTAAAAAGAGATAGATAAAGAGAAAGAGAGAGAGATAAGAACTGTACACTAATACCAAAACACCATCCTGGCTCAGTGGTTCAGGTGCCGACTACGGTAGGATGCTTAATATTTGCTTCACATACTGCAAGAAGCGAATCGATTTTTTTCTTTGTATTCTTTGAATGCAATGTTACCAGGTTGCATAAAAAAAAAGAAAGAAATAGGCTACATTTGAAAAACCAGCGCTCACAAATTTTGAATTGGATTTTCGTAACCGAAGTTAGCCCAGCTTATTAATGTAGGCCCCAAAAGTCACGTGTAACCGAAATCCACATTTACTAGTGCCGGACGTTTAAAAAAATATCCAGCCAACCATCGACTGAGCACGCGAGCAACGACAAGCTTTTAGAGAAAGATGAGAGCTCAGAACTGAAGATACCAAAATTAAGTAAATGCGAAAATTTCAATGTCTAGAAAAATGCTGCACCGAAATACGATGGCGCGTTGTAATAGCGAAAGATGCCTTCCGAAAGCTAAGCAAAGTATTAAGAAACAAGAAAAAGAAATTTCCAAGTGTGGATTCTTCAGTATCCTCTAAATTCAAAGGCGCATTGGAAAAGGGAAAGATGCCTTCCAAAAGCTAAGCAAAGTATTAAGAAACAAGAAAAAGAGATTTTCAGGTGTGGATTCTTCGGTATCCTCTAAATCCGAAGGTGCTTTGGAATAGGGAAAGATGCCTTACAAAATCTAAGCTAAGTATTGAGAAACAGTAAGATATCTGGGTAGTGTTTTAACAGAGGACGGAAAGTGTGACAACGAAATCCGAAGGCGCATTGCAATAGGGGAAGATGCCTTCCAAATGCTAAGCAAATTATTAAGAAACAGGAGAAATTTTATTCGAAACAAAGAAAAAACGTACGGAACTGTCATTTACTATCGCCCCCTCCCATATGGCAGTGAATTCCTTAAAGACGAAGAACAGACTTGAGGCAACTGAAATGTGGTTCTACACAAAGGTGCCGTGGGTACCATGGACTGAACATGTGAGAAACAAGGAAGTTTTAGTGAAAGTGGAAACAAACAAAAATGGACACTTATACACAACACCAGAAAGCGACAGTTCAAATTTCTTGGGTTCATAATGAAGAAAAAGGGCTTAGAAAATTTGACTCAGCGTATATTACAGGACAGAGGGACAGAGGAAAGCAGCACATAATAAAACCTAACGATCTTGTGTAAATGTTTGTCAGAACAAGGATTAGGAGAGATAGTAAAAATATAAAATTTATTAAGGACTACAAATGACAGGAAGCTGTGGAGAACCATAATTGCCATCCTCATGAAGAACCGTGGCAATAGAAGTAGTAGAAAAATGTTGATGAATGGAATGGAAATTAAGCTAGATTCTTCTCACTTTCACTTCCGTGACCCTTCAGGATGTTGGCGATCATCACGGCTTCCTCAAAGATGAAGAAGAGACTTATGACAACTGAAATGTGGTTCTACATAAGGATGCTGAGGATACCATGGACTGAGCATGTGATAAACGACGCAGTTTTTGAGACAATCTAAACAAAAAGAACACTTATACTTAACATCAAAAAGCGACAGTTGAAATTTCTAGGGCACATGATGAGGAAAGATGGCTTAGAAAATTTAACACTCACAGGATATTTTGATGCCAAGAGAGACAGAGGAAAGCATCGTATAACTTACCTAACGAGTTTGTATGAATGGATGGCAGAACAGGTATTAGGAGACAATGCAAAAGAATAAAATTTACTAAAGGTTACAAAAGGTAGGAAGTTGTGGAGAGCCAACATCGCCGTCATGAAAGATAATGGCACATAGAAGAAGCAGAATATGGATTGGAAATTAAACTATATATCTCTCTCTCTCTCTCTCTCTCTCTCTCTCTCTCTCTCTCTCTCTCTCTAACTTTCGTGGTCCTTCAGGGTGTTGGCGATCATAACATACCACAGCTTCCTGCCCTTTGTTTTTTTTTCCTCAGTATGTGCTCCTTAACGAACCAGATGTTATATGTGTGTTACTTGTTCTTTCATCCATTCGCTAAAATTTGTCATGTGCATTACGAGAAGTTTCCTCTACTTCTCTTGCTTGCCATATTCTCTGTGAGGGTTAAGTTCTCCAAATTGTCCTTTCTCATAATGCCCCCGCTAAATTTCGGTTTATTTCTCTTTCCGATTATTAGCATCAGTTTCTTCGTAGATTCTACACTCTTTAAATGCTCCTCTGTTTCCTTTCATCATCATAACAATTTATGGGCCGTTTTCCTTCTTAAATAACCTCGTCAAATCAAGACTTTCATACGAATGTCATAAATGGCGCCAAACTCGTTCAGAAATGTCTAAACTGTCGGCTGTATACAACCGCTTCCTAAGATCAATGGTGGAAAAAAGGTTTTGAGCGGGTAAAATCAGACGGTCTGGGCAAAGATCATCCTTCTTTGAAAATTGTGTAGTGGCGCTACAGAATCACAAACAATAGAAATTGTATCACCTGAAGGTTACTGACAGCAGCAGCAGCAGGTAAGGTGGATGGCACATGTAACTCGAAGAGAAAATAATGACATAATCAGGATGTTGACGTTCCGCAGCACTTCAAATAAAAGCTTAGGAAGGAAAGGACCACCAGTACTGGAAAGAGCGATAATAGCTACTGGTCTTGAGAAAACTGTTTTCCTAAAAAACATTTTTAAGAGAAAGATCTTTATAAATTTCAACCGAAATCAGTACTGGCTGATCGGTCAATGAATGCCAAATGTTTCCTTGTAGGGTAACGTCTAAGATTAACATTTCCATTCATATTACCATTTTTACCATTCATATTACCATTTTTACCATTCATATTACCATTTTTACCATACATATTACCATTCATACTATTGCCATTTTTACCATTTATATTACCATTCATATTACAATTTTTACCATTCATATTACCATTTTTACCATACATATTACCATTCATACTATTGCCATTTTTACCATTCATATTACCATTTTTACCATTCATATTACCATTTTACCATTCATATCACCATTCATATTATTGCCATTTTTACCATTTATATTACCATTCATATTACCATTTTACCATTCATATTACCATTCATATTATTGCTATTTTTACCATTTATATTACCATTCATATTACCATTTTTACCATTCATATTACCATTTTTACCATTCATATTGCCATTCATATTATTGCCAGTTTTACCATTTATATTACCTTTCATCTTACCATTGTTATCATTCATATTACTGATTATGTTGGCGATCATGACTACACTCATATTACACAAAATTGTCGAGAGGATTGCAGTCTGGCCATAATGATTCATATTACCATTCTTATTACCATTTTTACCATTCATATTACCATTTTTACCATTCATACTATCATTCATATTACCATTTTTACTATTCATATTACAATTTTTACCATTCATATCATTATTCATATTACTATTATTACCATTTTTACCATTCATATTATCATTTTTACCATTTCCATTTAGAACATAGGTGATCATGGCTCTCCTTTTTATTCCTTTTTGTTGTTACTTTCATCGATACCTTCCTTTTCATTGTAGCATTTTTCAAACCTTCCTTTTCATTGTAGCATTTTTCTTCGATCCATTTGCCAAAACCTATCAA